TTTTCGGGCTTTTTTGGGCTTTTTTGGGCTTTTTGGGGCTTTTGGGGCTTTTTGGGCTTTTCGGGCTTCTTTGGGCTTTTTTCGGCGAAGCATGACGGGTCCCTAAGACTTCCCGAAAGCCTGTCAAGCGTACTGGCTCTTTTAGTTTAGCGCGATCCTATTGTGGCAAAAGATGAAAAAAATAGTGCACAGACTAAAGAGGAATATTGGTAACGTCATGGGTTGGCGAACCCAGGGAGGCACTTGTGAATACCGATTTTACCCACGGAACTCACTGAGTTCGTTGATGAATACGGCCACTGGGCTTGGGCTAGTAGGTAGGACAAAGCTGTGTGAAACCTGTCAAATGTGTAGAAGACATGTTAGTTTTCGACACGTGCTCATAATCGCGGGGGGCAGGCGGTCCGCAAATTCGCGTTTTCCTGCAGGCGGTCGGCAGAATTTTGGGGCGTGGCCAAACCTTCAGCGGATGGCACTCCTTTACTGTCGAATTTCCTGCTAGCGGGGCAGAATACAGAATTTTCTGCAGGCGCTCGTCAAATAATCTCTTTCAGCGAGTGCTGGCCAAACTTTCAGCAGACGCTCGGACCCATTTTAAGCAGTTTCGGGCGTGCGTCGAGCAAATATGAGACTCTATGCTGCAGAGTGTCATCGATGGTCTAATTACTCAAGTTTGAGGTACTTTCTCTCAGCGGGTACCTGAGGACTGTGCAGTCCTCCACAAAAAACCGCGCGGCCCTCAATAATTTTGCATATTCTCGCGAAAAGTCCCACCAACCATGCGGCCAATGCGCCGCAACTAATCTATAGGAAAACTGCGATGGTTCTCCGAGCATTCGTCTGAAAATTGGTCAACATTCCTCCAAATTTCTGCAAGCGGGCCGCAAGAAATCAGCGAACTATTTTTCCGGTGCCCGCTTGCTCAAAATTCGCATGGCCGCCTGCTCCCCGCGATTATCTGAGTGGCAGCAGGTTGTCGATCCTTCTCTTAAAATTTGAACCAGATATGGCACGAAAAAAAGCGTAATCTCTTGACCAAGTGGATCACAAGAAGTACTCTTCTTTACAAGCCGGTGGTTTTCACGAATGCTAGATTCGATCAGAACTGAAGAAAGTTACCTGCGCAATTTCATAACTCATGCTTATCACTCTGAATTCGATAAACATGGCCGACGTTCCGACATTAAAGGCAGCGTACACCCAAAATTTGAGTTACCGAATTTCTAAGATCTTTCTACACCTGTATATACTGGGCCCAGAAGAAGACCAACTGCGTTGGTCCGGTCTCCCAATGTTGCTTCTGAGCGGAGAAACCCCCCCTCAATTTTCTTTCATGCCGCCCCTTTTCTTTCGCTCCGCCTCCTCCGGACGGATCCATAACAGGGTAAGCTGCATTTGCAGTTGCAGTTGCTGTTGCAACATCTGTTGCATCTGTTTTGGGTGTACGCTGCCTTTAAAGGCAGTGTCTCACCAAAATTTAGTTGCCGAGATTTTTGCATTTTGCAAGCCTGTTGGACCCTGTCTAGCACTGTATGGGCTTTAAATCGCACGAAGTTCCCAAAAACCCCGTTTTCTGGAGGCCCCGCGGAAGCAACGTGGACGAGTTGTACCTTCCAACTTCAGCCTCAGCCACAGTGGCAGCAACAGAGGGGAGGCGGATGCCAAGTGGAGGGACATGTTCAAACGCGTAAGGGGGGAGACCGAAGGAGTCGCCCGCGCGTATCAAGTCGCTCTCCGCGTACCACTTTGAGCGAATTTTTCTTAGCGTGGAGGGGGTCAAATTTAGTGCGACTTGTTGCAATGGCCTATTTAGGGCCCCTATAATAGAATATGTGAAGATCCGCGCAACCTTAACTTTGGTGAGACACTGCCTTTAAGGAGCCTCTGTAAGTGACGAAAAGCAGTGTGAGCGTCAATTTGCCAATCGAAGCCAGAATTGACAATGGCGTGTTTGAAATGTCGTCTGTTGCTTCGATTCTGATCACGAAGGACATATAGGCAGACGAAAGCTCTTCGAACGAACAGCCAATCGACACACCTAAAGTCTGGTCTAGTTTGCTGTTTCGACAAAAACGATGTTACAATATGATACTTCTATATTTGTTTCTTTGTGAACTTTACCTAAATTTGACATATTTTGAAGAAAGGATAAGTACAGTTTTTTGATCATGCAGCCTCCAAAGTTTTATCATTATTTAAACCAACATCATGGCATCAGACGGATATTATGCTGTGAAGCGTACCCAATATTGTTTTATTTCGACATGTTGATCTAGCAGAACACATTTGGCGCGGTTCATCTTTTTTTTCTAGACTGGTAAGCTGGTATAAAACAAGCTTATCTACGCGTAACTATATAACATTCACTGCTATAATGTGCAGATACAAATAAGTAGAGAGTGGACATCATAAAACCATTCCAGGTATCTGATGATGTTGACAAAACCATGCGCGTTATTTTGGGAGGGGGAGAAGAATTGTCAGAAACCTTTTTGTGGGATATCATGAAAGGTATGTGTGTTTAGAAATAGCAACTCAAATATGTGTAACAAGTGTTCTTCGCCGCAACTGCCGTCGACGTGGCTGAGACTTCCTCAACTTTCTCTTGTATAAAACTAAGCACCGTCGTCATTGAGCATGACCATTGCACACCATCGAAATTCCTTGATATAGGGTTGTTTCATACTTCACTACTACCGCACTGATCGAACTGACACTACTCAACACCGATGTGTCGCTGAAAAAAAATACACTCAATTACTTTAGAAATGTTTCCGATATTGACTGAAAATTGCGGAATAAAGAGCAGTAATCCATCAAATCACTGCAGCGAATAACGCAAAATTTTTGTATTTAAGAACTAGAGTTCAGCCAGGCCTTTCGAAAGAATATTGAAATCTTTGGGAACTTTATGCACATGACAAGCATGAAGTTTTTTTTACACCTTACCGTCTTCCTGAAGTCTTCGGATAACGTGAGAAGGACGTGAGAAGGACTTTTTTGCTGACTCTCAGATAATCGCCGGGGGCAAGCGGCCATGCGAATTTTGAGCAAGCGGGCACCGGAAAAATAGTTCGCTGATTTTTTGTGGTCCGCTTGCAAAAATTTGGAATAATTTTGGCCAATTTTTAGACGAACGCTCGAAGATCTATGCGGTTTTTCTATACATAAGTTGCGGCACAGTGGCCGCATTCTCGCGGATTTTCCGCGAGAACATGCAAAATTATTGAGAGCCGCACGGTCCTTTTTGAAGGACCGCACAGCCCTCAGGTACTTTCCGCTGGAAGAAAGTACCCCAAACTTGGGTAATAAAACCATCGATGGCACCTCTGCCACATAGAGTCTCATCTTTTCTCGGCGTACGCCCGAAACTGCGTAAAAAGAGTCTGAGCGCCTGCTGAAAGTTTGGCCAGCGCTCGCTGAAAGAGATTGTTTGACGAGCGCTTGCAGAAAATTTTCTATTGATGCCCGCTTGCAGAAAACGCAAATACCGCCCGCTGAAGATTTGGCCACGCCCCGAAATCCTGCTGACCGCCTGTAGAAAAGCGCAAGTTTGCGGACCGCCTGCCCCCGGCGATTATCTGAGCTAGTACTCCTATCAATTGCGCTCAGGGCTCGGCAAACTGGAACCAGGTTTGCACGAGGTTCCCTTCAGCCTTTTTTGCGTTCTCACTCCTCTCCATTTGCCTTCTTGCCTCTCATCTTGGTTTTGGGGGGGGGGGGGTGAAACCCAACCCAGAGCAGAGGGCAAAAGGCCGAAAACAAAAGGAAAAAAACAAGAAAATCTACAGCTGTCTTCCTCACCCTCCACTTCCATTTCCTCTCTCCCTACCCCTCCACATCACCCTCTCCAACCCCTCAATGCGAGTGAGACAAAAGACCAAACAGAAAACAACAAAGTAACCGGAAGGAAACAAAAATAAAGGTGAAGGCATCGAACGTCCAACGAACGTGACAGATTCGCACGTCGTTTTGCTTGGAGGCACGCTTCAGAGCATCAGCATAAATCTCTTGAGGGCTATAGAACAGTCTGAAGGAAGGATTATGATTTACTCTTTGTACGAAAACTTTCACCATGAAGATACAATTTGTGTATTGCCCGGAAACTTTCTTCACAAGCTAATAAGAAAGTATCAAAAGTTATGTGAGCGAAGGGTCGGCTCCAGATTGGCTGGCACCAGCCGGTTTGGTCCCAACTAAAAAAAAATTATCTGAAAAAATCGAAAAAAGTTAATCATGGCTTTCATTCACATAAGTTTTCATAATGTTTGTGCCATAGGCACTCCCTCTCCGCGCAATGCACGCTAAATTTGGTGCCAAATTTGCGTTTTAATTGTGAACAACTTTTGAATTCCAGCGCTGATTAGCTGCTTGCCTGCCTCCGGAATTCCATCCACATGCCGTCGGTATGCTGCCGGCATACGGGTGACAATCCTGCAAAATGCTAACCAACAGGTATAGAGCACGGCACGCCGTCACTCTACCGGTGGTATCCCCAGTTTGCTAACAAACGGTAGCATGATGACCCGTAAAAAGTATTCCCTTGCTTTGCTCAGAAACAACATTCAGCTTACCCAATTTCATCTGCGTCGAGTCTTGATTGGCTATTGATTAGGCAGGTTGATTTCACTAAAATCTACCAGCAAGCTGTACGTTGTTTTTTCTCCTAGAAACCAGCAAGATAAGCTCCAATCCGCCATTTTTTATTGGTCAAGGAAATGAGGACGATGTCCTCGCGCTTGTTGATTGTTATTTCCCTATTTTCAGAGCGCCGTTGCATGACTTATTTGAGTGAAGAAACTGGAGAATTTCCGTCATTGTTGAGTAAGATGATTCTTGACGTTGACTACGATTTAAGACCATATTATGCCTACACTCGCTCTATCACAAATGGGTTAAATGGGTTTTGCACGCGAGACGGTCGCGTAAGTTTACATATGACACTTGAAACGTATAAATTCTTTGTGCATTGCAGGTTGCTTCTTATGAACATCTGAACTTTTGGAAGAGAGCGCTACTGCATCTGAAAAAATATTGTCGTTTTTCAATGCATTATGTAAGGACTCTCAATAGAATCAATGCAGACTTTCTATCACTTCTTGATGAGCAGCTAAGGTTAGCCCTGGGTGTTTGTTGAGTTAACGCAGACTCATTTCATCTACATGCTGCTTTATCATTGAGAGAATCGCTGGAGACGTTAAAAGCAAATGGATTATTCGAAGACACAGTATTCGCACTTATAAGTGGTCGAGGCAACGCAATGGGGTAATGCTTTCTAATTTTCTGTTCATGAAAAACCAAAAAAAAAAAACAGAACAAAGGCACGCAGCTTACGAACAACTCTACGAATTCTATGTATTTGAATCTTTTGAGTTCTTAAAAACTAACGTAAGCTTACAAGAAAAACTTCCCTAAGGCCTAAGGCATACCTCACGCGATTTGACCAAATCGCGACGTCCACGCGACTTGGCATTCTGCCAGATTTTCACAAATTCGTCGTGGTCGGTTTTCAAATGCACAGGCGTGTAGCTTTTGTAAGTTCTTGCAAACAGATCAGGTCCTGTTCAAACAGAGGGCGGTAACGACCAATTACGAACAGTCGCTTCTGTGCCGAATCGCGCAGCGACTGAAGTCGCGTGAGGTATGCCTTAGGCCTAAAACGCAACCGCGCGCTCCAGCGATGTTGCCCACCCAACAGTGGACTTTCGCAGCAGGTCATCGCTTTAGCATTAGAGCGCGGCAGACATCATGGACTTCACTTCTCGCTATCCATTATCACGCTTCATGCCTCCCATTCATCTCAATAATAATGCTTGCATGTACATGCATATCCCTGATGCTCGTGCATTGGTCACCGACGTCGTAGTGACATGTGTTATCCCACAAATTGATCGTGTATGGTGGCGAGTTTATAGTGATTTCGTAGAACAAATGGTTCCGTCGAGTAACATCTTCTAGGTAAAGAGTTTAAGCAATTTATAACATTGCTGCTCTCTTTTTTGTGGACGTCGACAGTTGCTCGCAACTACTATTCAAGTTATGACCTGCCAGTGCCGGGCTCTTTTCTTTTCATAGGCACTGCTTCATTGTGATGTTGATAATTTAGTTGTTGTTTCCTTGACTTGTGATTAATTTTGATATCAGCCTTCGATGGTATTATTGATTCGATGATATTGTTGACTGATGATGTTTTGATGTAGCCACCAGTTGTTTGAAGGCTCAGGCTGAACCTCGCTACAATGTGCTATCTGCGTTTTTTTTTTTGAAATGCTACCTTCTAGTGAGGGATGAAAAACACATTTTATCTCACTAGTAGCTGGCATACCCGGCTCCGCTCGGCCCTGTCAAAAACGATAAAGGTTCCATTTCTATCCCTGTACACCTTTACCTGTGCACACTTCTACATGCAATTCCCTATTCCCGTTGTGTTAGTAATCAGTATGCCCACCTAACCTTCCTCACCCCAGCCCCGCAGCTTAAACTTTGCAAAAAAAAAACAATAAAATCGATAAAAGTAAGGATAATTCTAAAAACTGATGGGGTTATGCGACTATCCGGGCCCTAAAATGTTTTTGTGGTGAATCTTGCTCAAACTCGGTATATGGAGATTAATCAAACCGCTGATGACGAATATCGTAGCCATTTCGCGCGATATAGCGTCATTTTCTGGGTTTACGTTGGGTACACATAAAAGCTAAAATCATGGATTTCGATGAAACTTTGAGGGGGGCTAATTGACATGCTGATTACGAATATCATACTCCTTTGGCATTTTGAGGCGATTTCACTGAGTTATGATAGGTATACTGCAGAGGGGTGAAATCTCAGTTTTGGCTGAAACTCGGTTTAGAGATATTCGACCTTCTGACCACGTCTAAAACACTCTCATTGCGTTTTAAGACCTTTTCGCAGAGTTACGGTAGGTACATGGCGGCGGGTAAAAAATCATGAACCTGCCTGAAATTTTGGCAGAAAATTACCTAAAGTGCTGTTTCAAGAATATCGTGCTCAATTCCCACGATAAAGGCAATTCGTGTGGTATAAAAGTCTCCCACGACCGTAATGCTTTCCTTATAGGAACTGCCGCGCTCGATACACCCTTCGGCGGCTTTTGTCTAACATAAGCAAAAAAGAGGAAGGGAGATTTGCCGCGTGCGTTACGCGTTGGGACAGGTTATCAGGATGGCGCTGAAGATCGCCATGCAAAGCAACCGTTTCCCCATTTCGTGAATATCTGGGATCTAAATTGGCCCGAAAGCGAAAAAATGTCCATGCAAACCCTGCAACTCACCATAACTTCACAGTAATTGAAATGACGACCTGTGGATAAAAAAAACACTCGAAAGCGTTCAGATGAACTCGAATTAGACCTACAATGCTCAATAAGTGTTTTGCTTAAGCTTGCATACTTTTGTGTAGAGATTATCATGATTTTGCGACTTATTAGGTTGGTGCAAAAGTAATGCGCGTTTTTCTAGCCCTTATTTCAAGACAGCTTTTCTCCATCGGTGTTTCTCCTATGAAACTTACACAGCATACTTTAAAGAAGCTTCTTTCATGCTCTATTCAATGGTTGTTGAAAGAAGCTTCTAGCCTCAATCGTTAGAAATCTATAGAGCTTCATACAACCGCACTCGAAATCAGAATTTCATTGCATTTACTTTTTTGGCCATAATTTGAGCGCGAGTAAACGCATTCTTTTGAAAATTTAACTACTGTATGCAGTAGAAATTTTCTACGTTACGCATGCTTTGCTGTTATCCCAGAAATTAATTAGACTGAGATTTCGGTGCCCCAACATGAGTGATGGTTTTGAACATTCTGGGCCCATAAATTTCCTTTGAAGAAAGCAATCACCAAAGTTTTGCTCACTCCTGTAAGCGTAAGGGTAGACCTCCTGTTGACAGTTTTTGCAGAAATGTGGAAGCTTTTCAAAAAGAAAATCAAAAATGTCCATACTTTGGGATTTTGAGGGCCACAAAAAATTGTCGAAAAAAGCGGACAGTTTTAAATATTATTTTTTCCTTTTCTCACCTCTTCTTTGTTTGAGCCCCTTTCAACTTTTATATGTACTACTGGCTTGCGGCTACAAGATAGTCAACTTTTCATTTATACCAACAAATCGTGAAGGAAGTTATGATCAGTTAAAGACGAGGTTTCCGAAAAAAAAATTTTTTTTGCTTATCAATCCATATTTTTTCATCGTTTTGCGATGTTAGCACAAATTGATGTGCGCTGTATAGAGAGAGGTTTGATGCCTCTGATGGATTTTACCGCGCTGAAAAATATGGATTTTTTAGAAAGTTATAGCACGTCAAAATGAGAACTCGCAAAACGCGCATTACTTTTGCACCAACCCAATAGAATGCTCGAAAATTTGGCTTTACAAAAGCTCACAACTTTTTTTTAGAACAACGCATCGCAGATATAAAAGGTGTACCTGAGATCAGGTTTTTTTAGCTCTATCAAAGGTATAGATCACTTTCCAAATCGCCACTTCGAATAAGTGAACCTCCCTTGTTAAGTGCTAATGCCACCGCAATGCGATAGGCTCGCTCCTTAACTTTTCGCCAATGGCGCCGATTCGTATTAACTCAGTACAACTCGTAGGAAAAAATAGGAGGATAAAGCTTTACGTTCATTTTGGGCACGAAAAAAACTATACTTAAATCTCCGCAATCAACTGTTTATCGATTCTGCAAGTAGGCCCCCGAAATTGGCCAGTTTTGCGCATTTCTCGTCGTTGAATTACGTCAGTTTACCTTCTGTAAGTCAGTCACGAGCATCTTATGGAATTTTTTCTGGCATTTCATGGAATTTTTTCTGCATACTGTCTTCGTTAGTTCAACTTGGGACCCTTATTCAACTGAACGACTTGTGTGGTCTTTTGTCATTGATGCCTTTTCAAAACGTGGAAGGGGGGAGGGGCGGTCGTAGGTTTGACCTAAGAATGTGCTCTGAGGGCTCACCCTCAGTTTGTTTGAGCTGGTGCTTCTCTATGTCTTTTGTGATTTTGATAAAGCGTGATGAATGGTGATAGGCATGTTTGGCAGATGGTTTTATAGAACAAACCAACTGATTTTACATTTAGCAATCTTCGCTCAATTTAGGATGAAGGATCAGCTATTCACAACGCGCGTAGAAGAACGCTCACCTTTATTTTCGATACGATTACCTGACAAGTTTCTTAAAAAACACCATCATCCACATGCCCTTCTGAATTCCAACGCGAATAGGTAATTATAAACTTTTCATAACACAACAATGTTGCTCACCTGACCAGTCCTTTTCAGGCTAGTTGCCACAAGGGATATTGGTCTCACTCTCAAGGATATTGCCTCTGTCAATTTTGTTTTCCCAAAACCCACAGAGATAAACAAACGCCGTATGATTTGCAGCCGTTACAACGGCTTTTCTTGAAGTCTATATTGCAGTTGAAGCCACTTCTTTACTGAGTTACGATCTTCCAACATACAGATCATGCGAGGATACCCTTATTCCTCCTCATCTGTGCTTATGTATGGATGAGAAGTCACTGCAGATTGAAGGCTCAAGGTAAATACATTTTTTTTTATCATAACGACTACAATGGCTGAGGCACACAATATCTGAGTTTGGTATTGTTGGCGTTTGTATGAAAAGTCCTTTATTTTTGCTAATCGTGCTTTTTAAGTCTTCGTTTTCTCTTAATCTTGTTTATTGCGAAACCATTTTTTGCTAATGTTGCCTCATTAGAAATTTGCCCCAAGAAGGTGAAAAACTGTCACTAAGCAAATTAGAGTCTGCTTATTCTAAATATTAGGTCGTTCCGAAAGATTTTTCCGTTTTTTCAACTTGCCTTAAAAACACATGGAATAAAGGCAAGCAAGTGCTCTGAGCACTTTTGGACGCAGTTTTTCTTCCTCTCTCAATCAGTTATGTCTTGAGACCATTTACTTTGGTTTACTTTGGTGGTTTATAAGATAGCTGCCAAAAATTCAAACCCATGGTCCTTACTATGCCCAAATTTGGCTATTTTTCAAAACCTTCATTTTGGACTTTTGGAAAAGCTTTGATAGCAGTTAGACAACGTAAGCAAAGTGCTATGCAGTGAAATCTTTGGCCCCAATGGGTGGCTTTCCAGGATTTTTAGAATTATTGGGTTGTCCCGAAAGTTTTGTCGGTTTCTTTAAACCACTATAAAACCACGCACAGTAAAGATATGAATGAGTTTTGAAGTGCAATCGATGCAACTTTTCCTTCTCTTTTTTATGGTTACATTTTCGAGCCGCAATCCTGCATGCTTTTTTTGATAATTGCCAAAATTCTTCACCCGCCATTTTTATCTGCTTAAAGTTAGGCTATTTTTCAAAAATTTCGTTCCAGAGTTTCGGAGAGGGTTGATATGGATCAAATAGAGCAATTCTAGGACTTAACGGAGATATTTTTTGGTCCTAATCTGCTGTGTTTAGCTCAAAAAAATTATTTCTTTGGAGGCCTTGATTTTCAGCAAAGTCATGAAAAACGCAACTTCAGCAAAAGCAAGAAAACTTCTGAAGTTTCTGCGAATTCAAACTTGATTGTTATTAAACGCTAACATAACCAAGTTTGATTTGCTTCAAAAATCAGCTTTTTTGGAACTTTCGGTACTTTTACGTGGTAAACTTATTCAAAAACCCGCCTTTGTTACTGAATAAATAATCATAACGGACTCAATAAACAAGGCCCAAGTAATCTAAAATAAATATTAGGTTGAACCGAAAGTTCTTTCCCCCCCATTTTCAAAAATTCATAACTTGCAATTTTTTCAACCAGTTTGGCTGCATCAATTTTTGTATGAAAGAGTAACTCATGCTCTTTATAACGACATCTTAGCTGCTTGCTATTATCATTTGTTGCATAGATAGGAGCGATAGAAGAAAATTAGTCAAAATTTGAATTTTCTGTGTAGGGTCATAAAAAATCGGAAACTTGCAAGAAAAATCGGAGCAGTCAGTACTGTAGGTTCTTTTATCAGCTCTTTCTAATGGTGCAAAGTTTGCGCCGATTGAGCGTCTCTGTGAAAAGTTATGATTTTCGAGCAAGCAATACAAAAGGGCGAATTTGATTTATTTTGGCATTTTTCAGGAAAATCGTAACTTTTCATAGAGGCGTTCAATCGGCGCATACTTTGCACTGTTGGAAAGAGCTTGTGAAAGGGCCTACAATACTGACTGCTCCGATTTTTGTTGCAAGTTTCCGATTTTTTATGACCCTACACGAAAAATTCAAATTTTGAGTGATTTTGGTTTTGAGCTTCTATCTCCTTCATTTGTATACATTAACGAACAGTTCAAGTACATTTACAAAGAGCATGAGTTTCACTCTTAAGCAAAATTTAGATCTTGCAGATTCGTTGAGAATTCAACAAGTTATGAATTTTTGAAAATAGGGGGAAAGAACTTTCGGTTCAACCTAATACAATGTAGCCAAAGGTTTGTTCTTCATAACAGTCACCAGCGCTCCTTGAAAATATTAGTATAAAAGTTTTGAAAATTCAGGAAGGATTTGGCGCTACTGCTGAGGTGCTCAAAAAGCCATGGCGATAACATCACAAAGACGGGGTAGATCAGAAAACAAATAAAGCTGTAAGAAAGAGGATAAAAACTGGATAGAATGGTACCTAGGTCGTCCATGGAATGGCTTTCTGTGAGTTTGGGTGAGCGATGAAAAAAACCGACAAATCTTTCGGACAACCTAATATATTTCTGATGCTCTCAAATTCCACTTTGGTCATCCCAAAACTCACAGAACATAAAATGGAGCACAATTGAGGTGTCATTCGATGCAACTTCTTTTCGTCTTTCTGATAAAAATTATCAAAATTCCTAATTTTGAACCCGTTTTATGCTGAACCCGTAAAATACGAGATTTGATATTTCGAAGCGGCAAACGCTCTGATGCTTTGTAAAGTTCGTGTGTTATTATAATCAATCTTTGCAAATTTCAAATTCCGACGATTGTTAGTGTTTGGAGCCTTTGCGTATTTTGCGACTTTGCAAAAACGAAGACTTTTAAAAGTTATCCTAAAAATACTTAGAAGCTAATTGGAGGTGCGAGAACACTGCATTGCATTGCACTTTGTTTACGCCATCTAACTAATATCAGGGCTTTTCCAAAGGTTAGAATGAAGGTTTTGAAAAATGCCAACTTCCGGCATAATAAAAACCATGGGTTTGAAATTTCGGCAATTATCTCAAAAACCACCAAAGCAAATGGATCAAGACATAACTGATGGAAAAAGGAAGAAAAATTGCGTCCAAAAGTGCTCAGAGCACTTGCTTGCCTTTATTCCATGTGTTTTTATGACAAGTTGAAAGAACGGAAAGAACTTTCGGATAGACCTAATATAAGCACTACACTATTGAGAAATTTGAAGAAAAAAACTACGAAAAATTTACTGATTTTGCAAACTTTTTCAAAGATAAAGGTAGAACACTACACCGAAATCTCTCCTCGTACTTCTACGAAAAATAGGTGATTTTCTTGTATTTGCTCTAAGTTGACGCCAGCCCTTTAATCTGGTGCTCAGTGGATAGCAAAAGTTCTTAAACAAGAATGCCATGAAAGATAAAATCGCATTATATAGAGTTTGTGTAACCAAAAAACTGTACAAAAGGTTTGACTTTTACGGCACAATATGATATGTATTTTCAAAAAGCTAAAGATTCAGTTTTTACAATTTTTATGCAAAAATGAAGCCTTGCGCAACCTGAGATAAATACCTGATGGAATTATAAGCAACTTGTTGCCAGAGGTCGACTTATGGGAGCCAGTAATAGGAAATGGAATTTGAAGGCAAATTAGGACCTGACGCCCTAGAAGTTGAACAAGTCGAATGCGTCAAATGGGGAGAGCCTCCGGCAGTAACTAGCGAAACTAAGAATTTGCCGAGACTTCGCACGGGGGATAACCCGACATGCTAAACGCGAATATCATACTCATTTGTTGCTATGAAAGAAATCCCTGAGCCTAGAGAAGAGATTTTTCTATGCGGAATGGATATCATTTTTGTAATCAGCATGTTGGGAAATCTCTCTACACCAAACTCCATCAAGATCTAAAGCAATCTGAAAATTTTCCGTTTTATCGTTACTCACCGTAGCTCTTACATGTGATAGCGAAACACGGCAATTATGGCAGCATTTGTAGATTATACATAGTTCTTACATGCCCAAAGAATGATTGCCCATATTCAAAATGACAGAAATTATATGAAAAGTTGCATTATTTATGCGCCAACCTAAAAAGACCAATGGCAAACAAATATTTGAAAAGTCTACCAATGTACACGTAAGGCTGGGTTCATACTGTTTCCCATGTTCCCGCATAGTTCCCGCACTGTGCTGGAACTGTTCCGGAGCTGTGCTGCATGCGCTTCAGCCGCCCGCATGCAATTTAGAGTGGCGGAAACTGGAGAACTTGGACCGTTTTCGATTGGTTTTCTTCCAGATTCCTCTCATTTTGGCCTTACTCCTTTATCCCGCTTCCCTCTTTGATCAGCGGAACTTCGAACAGGAAGCGGGGTTGAAGAATGAGAGGTTATTTGCTCTGCGTATGCGACAAAATGTGTGTTCTTGTGCTCGTCCATTTTCTCTTCGCTTTACTTTTACTCAGACCTATTCCATTTGTTCCACGAAGCCGCTGCGTAGTTTCCGCCATCTGCCACGAATTAGGGCGTGCGAGCAATCCTGAAAATGCACAAATTGGGGCTTTTCTCTTGCTTTCTGATGAGTTTCGTTTCTGGGCATTCTCAGCTCCTTCCCTTTTTCCACATCGTTGCTTATCCGTTCTTTCCTCTACCCCGCTTCTCCTTGTCATGAGAAAAGCTGCGAAATTGAAGCGGGGTTGAAGAAATAACCTTGTTCTGTTCCATGTGTCCGGGCAAATGGTTCGAGCGCTCGTCCTCTCTTCCATTTTTGTTCAGACCTACTTCATGTGTTCCAGGAAGGCGCTGCGTAGTTTCGCAACTGTATCGAAAGGGACCTAGACAGGACGCATGAAATAGATCTGAAAAATAGACGAGTGTACGAAGACCCATTTGCCCGGATGCATGGAACAGTACAAGGTTATATCTTTGATCCCGCTTCAACTTCGCTGCTTTTCTCATCATAAGGAGAAACGGGGTAGAACAAAGAAGGGGGAGGCAAGATATGGAAAAAAGGGGCTGAGAATGCCCAAAAACGAAACTCATCAGAAAACAAGAGAAAAGCCCCAATTTATGCACTCTTAGGATTGCTTGCACGTCCTTATTCATGGCAGATGGCTGTGAAAACTACGCAGAGGCCTTCTGGAACAAATGTAATAGGTCTGAGTAAAAGTAAAGCGAAGAGAAAATGGACGAGCACGAGAACACACGTTTTGTCTCATACGCAGAGCAAAAGAGCTCTTATTCTTCAACCCCGCTTCGAGTTCGAAGTTATGTTGATCAAAAAGGGAAGAAAGTTGGGGAATAAGGCCAAAATGAGGCAAATCTGGAAGAAAACCCGTTGGAAACGATCAAAATTCTCTAACTCACGCAGTTTGAAACGCGTGAGGGGCGGCTGCAGCGCACGCAGCACTGTCCCGGAACAGTTCCAGCACAGTGCCAGAACTGTGGGAACTGTTCCGGAACTGTGCAGGAACAGTTCCGGAACATTGGAGTTATCATGAACCCAGCCTAATAGAACAAAAAGGCTGCATATCGACCGTTTCTCCTGTCCTAAACTTAATGGCTTTTCTCAGTGAAAGAAGAATGGAACTTTCCGCAGCACGGTTTGCTTTGAATAATAGTGCTGGCGTCGCGACACTTGTAAATTGCTTTTTGTAAGCTCAAAACTAACGATTTCGACGCTTTTGCTAATTTTCAAAAAGAAACGATTTCAAATCACAGTGACGAAAAAAGTGAATGAATTAAAATGAAACGCTAACACAGTGACTGAAACTCGTGTTTAGATGCGTCCTGGTCAGTTGAGTGGATGGCGAATCTATCATTCAAATTTGCTAACAGGGAGTTGGTCAGAAGTCGAAGTGGCACTCATGGTACCATTAGAAACAGCATAGAAGGTTGACTCTGAATATGATTTCGAAGTATCTACTGAAAACGCCTTTGCGGACAAAGTTGTAAGCCATTATATTGCAAAAAATGGTTATCCTATCTGCAAATTTGGCCAAAGAAAGCCTCTAACTCAACCTTAAACCTTTAACTCAAGCTTAGCCGAAACGTGCAGCTCTATTTACTTATATAGCTTATAACCTCAAGGTGAGCTGGAAAGGCAATAGTGACCTATTTCCGCAACTTGTATATATGATCTAGCAATAGGACTAATCACAACTCTGTCCAAAAAGGCGTTCAGCCGATACTGAAGACAGATTTAGAGTTAGCCTTCTATGCTGTATCCAACAGTATGCTGCTTGTCCTCATTGGCTGCTTGGAATTCTGAACGTTCCCTTTTAAGCCGTTTTTGAAATTATGAGTAGTGAGAAATCAAAATTTGGCAAACATCAAGTGGCACTCCTTTGAGAATTAATTGTTTAGAAACGCAAATTTATATTATTTTTTCATACTGTTCACACTGTATCCTACTATAAAACAACAAGTCGGCTCTTCGGCCAATGATAAGGAGAACTGCGAACTATAACTTGTTATTAAGAAAATCTTTTGATTTAACCTTCCAGCGGGGTAAGCCCGTCAGTACTTGATGATACTCGGTCGATACTTAAGGAGAAGTCTGATTCTCTGCAGCTTGTTTCCACTCGACCCCTTTTGCTCGCAACTTTCTCTTTTTCCTCTCCTTTAACCCTGCTGTGAGGTCAAATCGGCCTGTCTTCTCCCTCCATGAAAGACTGTTGATCGTTGGTTTTCGCTATCCAACGATTTATACTAGTTCCAATAATTGTGAGCATTCCTTAAAGTATTCGACACCATGGCAATCAAGCAGAAGTTGATCAAAGCACATTATGTGTTTAAACCAATGACTTCACACTTTTTAGTCGCGCATAAGTTTTTCTAGGGAATCGTTAGCAGATGTGGAAGGTAGACTCAGTCAACTCATCAAGACCTTTGATAATACGCATTTCATTAGTTTGCCACTGCAATTGGGATAGTAAAATCAAACCTTCGCGGGATTTGGCTCATATAACTTTTACTAGCACTTGACAGCGGAAACTACGCGCGAAATAGACTGCAAAGAAAGACTGAAAGCATAGAATCGCGAAAGACAGTTGAAGTAGATTTCTCAAATTCCTTCGTCAACTTATTAATTGAGGCTAACTCTGCGTTTGTCAGCACAGCTTTTTTCGAAATAAAATTGATTTCAGAGACCTATTGGTGTATAAACAGTTGTTCGAGTATGTGAAGCGTGAAATGCTCAAGTATGACTGTGTTGAAGGAGTCTACAAGGCTGGTTGGGAAGTTACTGTACTTTCTCTGAATCCAATGGTTCAGCAAGGAATCAAGGAGGAAAAAGAGTAATTTTACATATGGTATATAAGCATATAAGCATGTGAGCAGATAAGGTAATCTGGACTTGCTTTGCAGCAGCAACGTTAGATCACTTCACTGTTTTTAACTTCCAATAAATGGACACTACAGGACATGATTTTGGTCTTCAAAATAACCGTAGAGGGACTGTTGCTCTCATGTTACCGAGTGAACAAGTATAGCTTGCGCCTACACGTATGATCAAATGGTGATAGTGATGAAAAGAACCAGAGCTGGAATCAAGCAGCTCAGAGTAGCATTCGATGAGGGCTTAATAAAAATACTTGCGGAAGCACATGGTGCTTGGAATTTGAAAATGGCCTACTGTGGTGTTACAACTCATGCACAGACGGGGCAGGGCACAAGACAACAGCAGGCCATTTTACTTGGTTCCTTCAACTTGCTGCAGAAATAAACTTCAATTTAGGCGTCGGGTCAAGAGCAGGGCTTGGCACAGTGGCTTACGGAGCCGCCTGCATATCGTTTTGGGGGTAGAAAGCAAAGCGATGTCGTTTTTGCGGAGTTCGAGGGGGGGGAGAACCTCAAAAAAATGCATATTTCAGTTCGGTACGGTTTATATGAAAAGAACCCAAATCGCGTCGTGCAAAATCGAGTTTCGGGATCGGTAAAACAGTAATTCTCTGAACGCACAAATCCATCAAAACTCAATTTGTACGATTTTATTTTAGTCAGGTGCATCATGAGTTTATCGAAAATAAAATAAAATAAAATAAAAATTGACCTAGTGAAAAAAATTCGGGAAGTTAGCCGACTTCACGACCATAACTTAACAAAATTTTGCAGCCCTTCCTCACTGGTACAACTTAACCTTAGAGAATTTACCTTTTGAAAACTATGTAACATAATTCATACCCACCTTTACCCCGGGAGACGGTCAGGAGGCGCGATTTCTTTCGCTGTCAGCAACTGAAAATTCCAGTTTAGCGCTACGCGAGTTTCAAAAAGTACCACGCGAAGTGCAATGGGTTACTATCTGTCTAAGATAACCAAATGCTGCGTTTGGTGGCTTTTGCTGGAAAACGGACCGAAATATTCAAAGACTTGTTTTTAACTGCATTTTCATGGGTTTTTGACCTTCAAAATTGCTTTTTTGAGTTGATTCCAAAGTAGCAAGATTGAGGACCCATGCAGCTATCTAATATGTCTCCTTCAGAATTTAGATACTTTTAGAATGTTATAAAACACTTATTATGTGCTGTTTGTTGTCCATGTGGCAATAAAAATCGCGCCTTTACCCCAACGTCACTGTCATCGCTCTCCGTGGAAGAGCGGGAATTCGAAAATGCGCCCGAGTAAAACAAATGTTGTTGTTGTTCACAGTGAGGAAGAAATGAAACAATGCGAAAATTGGTGTGTAGATGCGCAATAAGGAGTTAAAACTATGTATGAAAACCTATGAAAAAGTTATGTGAATTGAAGGCGTGGCAAACTTTACTTAAAATTAGGTGTCTTTTTTGCCACCTGGAGGACCTCCTGAGGTGGCTTAGCGCAAACAAAGTCGTAACTTCCTTTCATTCACATAATTTTTGCACATTTTTTGCTTAGTTCTAAATATCCAAAATTCTACAGACTAGTTTTTTTAACCTCTTCAGACCTTCTTCTCCCCGCCTAGTTATAACCCTTCAAAGAATCCAAAGCAAAAAGCCTGCTCCAAGCAAGCGGTGGTGCCCGGACACAACATGCGTAGAATACGAACATCAGTACCGCATTTCCGTCCGCTCTAATTTGCTTTTGTAATTTTTCTATTCTTTTTGGTTTCCCATGTTTGATTAATCCATGAGCGTGTCATATGCATAGGCGCTATTCCACATAAGTTGACCCAGAAAGTGAAAGTTCTGATTCGCTAAAACTTCGTCTAGGGGGGGGGGGGGTAGTTGATACGCTGAACACGAATTTGATGTTTATTTCGCGAGGTATTTTATTCGGTCGAGATACGGTGGGGTAACGGTGGGGGTCAAAATCGAATTAGCCCGAAACTTCGTTGAGAAGGGTTATTTAGCATGCTGTGCACGAATATGGCGTTTGTTTCGTGCACCAGTGCATATCCGGTGGAGTTACGGTAGGATTAGGGGACGTACGGTAGCCACACGGCTTTGAAACGGGTGGATTCGCCGTGGAGCGCGGCTGTTGAGCGGAGCGCGTTATTGGCATGGAACTTTTAGCGTTTAATGAAAGATGATTCAAAGGTTTTGTTTTTCTTTTTGACTCAAGTGCTTCTTTTTCGCATATTTACTTATAAGAGTCCGCTCCGTTCAAATGCACATATAAGTACTTATTTTGCGATAATTTCCGCAGCGGTAGGTCCTCTCAACTGAGGCTAAATGCATATACTGACTGCAAAAACGAGAATTAGTTGTTGCAGAAAGGTGAACCAAATGTAGGTATTGATATTTGAACCGTATAACATAATCAAAATCTCTTCCATAGCTTGCAACAACTAGATGAAAGTGAAGAAGCAGAACAAAAGGGCGATTATACAGAAGTGGTGCATGAGATGTGGTCGTTATGATTAGCAAGACAGTAATCCCTGGATACTTGACCAAAAATAAGGTTGCAAGATAAAAGAGAGGGTAGACTGAAATTAGTCCTCCTAATGGCACTCCTGGTTCTGGTTCTTGCACAAGTTATCATGTAATCCAAAGTCACTGTCAAGTACGCTGGCTTGTTCACGATAAGGTTTGTGCATCAGAGGAATTCTTGTGGGTACCGTCAACGTGGCTGCCTTTCGATCGTGTTGACACGTTAGCTACAGCAAATTTGAGACGTTTATTCGAAGCTGACATGTTGAAACGATCGAAAGGCAGGTACGTTGATGGTACCGAGAACCCCTTCGGGCACAAAGATGCGTGAGTCTCATTGCAGTAACAGTTTTCACTACAGACTTTCAACTTGGGTCGCGATCTTTTTTGTTGGACTCATCAGAATTTCTTCGCTACTTTTGATCTGAAGGTCAAGTAGAGTTTTTCAAGGAGTTTATCCCTTCCCAGAAGATGTATAATTCTTTGCATCTCTGGCCGATATACCTGACTCCACCCTTTCTTTCGATACGTTATAGTAAAGTAAATAATCCTTTTTACTATACAAGATTCCTCTGTTCCTGCTCCACCTCCGTATGTTAGATTCCCCATATGATTTCGTGTTCAGCATATATACTTATCCCTCTGCACCACCTTGCAAAAATCATATTTATCGAGCGATAGCAACAAGTAGGCTAACACACCCTCCCCCCCCCCCAAAGTGCTGTGAGCATGGTTTGGTCCGAAGCTTACTTGTCTGAGGAGCAAATTGAAATCAGGTGAGGAAATCCGCTTCAATCACAATCCGCGCTCCTTTGCGAATCCAGCCGTTTCAGCGCCGTGTGGTTACCGTACGTCAGGATTAGGGTAGGGGCTAACTATGAATTTGTCCCATAGTCTACCGTAACTCCACCGGATGGCGCTGGTGCACGAAACAAGCATCATATTCGTGTACAGCATGCTAAATAACCCCTCTCAACAAAGTTTCGGGCTAATTCGTGATTTTGACCCCCCCCCCCCCTACCGCAACCCCACCGTATCTCCACCGAATGGCGCTACCGCGCGAAGTAAGCATCATATTCGCGTATCAAATACCCCCCCCCCCCTAGACGAAGTTTTAGCGAATTTCAGAACTTTCACTATTTGAGTCAACTAATGTGGAATAGGGCTCCGGGTCAGGAGTCACACCGCGTGCGGCTGCCGCTCACCGCGCCCAGATTTTGATCCTCATAAAAACTTCCTGGTGCTGAAGTGCATGGCACCACAGAAGGGGAGGGGGGTGGGGTGGCAGATACAGGACCCGATACCATAAATAACATTGCGGCAGGAGTACTGACGGAAGCTGAGGCCTGTACTGGTTGACGTCGCGTTGGGGCGTCACCTCGCAAAAATCGCGACTCCTGACCCGTACCCGTAGAATAGAACCTATGCGTAATTATGCTGCGAAGTCGGACTTCGTTTCCAAAACATTGCCCCTTTTGCAAAGCCCTTGGTTATGAAAGTGGAGGTCATGCGCTTTACAACAGCCTTCAAAAGCTACACTTAGATCTGCAGAGATATAGGCTACTGCTCGACGAAGGCGCAATACCTTCGGGCGCGAACGCAGCTCTATTAGCAATAGAGCGCGATGCAGAGTTTACAACGGTAAAGATTCGCGCTGGTAGCGCGTCCGCTCAACTACGAGAGACGGTCAAGAGGCGCGATTTCCCTAGAGGTTACCTATACACCCAAACCTTTGAGCTATGGAAGTCTTTAAAAATACCAGTCAAAATGTTCTAGTTTAACTAATTATCTGAAGAGACCATTCGCTAAGGTTGACGGTTTTCAGTGGAAATCTGATTGAAATATTTACGAAACTGCGATTGGTTGCATTTCCGCGGGTTTTTGACCTCCAGCATTCGCGTTTTGCATCTATTCCAAGATATAAGTTTGAATAGTCCTTGCAACGATCTTGCATATCTCATCACAAATTTAGAAGTCTTTTAGAAGGTTGTTAAACACTAAAATAGCGCTAATTGGTGTCCATCTGGCAAGAAAAATCGAGCCTCTTGACATGCACCCCTCAACTACTACTGCTTCATTTGTTCTGCAAAGCCCTTACAAGCTGTAGAAGAGTATTATTCGAATTTTGATTTTTCTGTGTAGTATGCCAAAGGTCTGAAGCTTGCATAAAAATTGGAACACTTGGAAATGTAGGTTTTATGACCTGCTCTACCCATCTGGTCGTGTTGATTAAGCTTTTCTACATAAACCTAAAATTTTCGAGAGAACAGCAGAAAAAGGCAAATTTGAGCCTTTCGCATTTTTGTCAGAATAACTTCTCATGAAAATCTCAACTAACACGATGTTGTTCATATCACTTTACTAAGTGCTCCAATTTTCAGTACGAATTTCAGATTTTTTGCAACCCTATGCACAAAATCAGCTTTAATAACTCTCTTCTACAGCCTGTGC